CCCAATGGAATGCAGTCATATATATATATAGAAATGTTATTCATTGGGATAAACCCTTTGAGATGCACCATCTCGTTTTCAAGGGGGTCCCGACAATAGCAACAACTTACAGACAAACATAAACAAAAAGACAAAATGCAGAACATGACACACAAGACAAACCACATACAGTCTGTTAAGTGAAATTCAAGCAATGCACATAATCATTACAATTTGAGACAGTCAAGCAAATCAGTTTCATCAATATCAGTTATAACAAGTACAGACCAGTTGAAAGTGAGATAACAATGCATGTTTAAATATACCCAATGATGCAAGAGATCTAATAGCAGCAGGTAAAGTATTCCAGTCAGTTGGGGCTTTGAACATGAACGCTCTTCTGCTAATCAATTTTTTTGCAGAGGGGACAGAGAAATAAATCTGAACAGAATGTCTAACTTGATGATTTGGTGAGTAAGGTACAACATACTGCTTTAAATAAGGAGGATAGTTAAGATAAATGCATTTAAATATCAGCTGATGCATGTGTCTTCTTACATTTAAAGAAGGCCATTTAAGTTGGTTATACATTGTGCAGTGATGTGTACGAAAAGGACAACCAAGAACAAATCTGCATAGTCTGTTGTGTCATATTTTGAAATGGGACAAAGGGAAATACAGTTTGTAACATTAAAACAACCAATCATAACCACCACAGACAGAGCTGTCACTAACATTGATACAGCTCCTCTAACACCCAATGCAGGCATCAGGAATCTAGATGAACATCTATATGTAACATCTCCAGATCCAGTAACTGCCACAAGCAACAGTGACACGTGCAATATATTTTCAGTCATGGAAAAACAAAATGAAATAACCGCTTTATTAATCCAGCAACAGTGTCTATCATCCATGCCCAAGAAAGACATTCCAGTGTTTAATGGTGACCCACTTCAGTACCAAACATTTGTGAGATCTTTCGAATTCAATATTGAAAGCAAAAACAATAACCCCAGAGACTGCCTCTACTACCTGGAGCAATATACAACAGGACTGCCTAGAGACCTTGTACGGAGTTGCCAACATATGGCCTCAGACAGTGGATTCAGCAAGGCCAAATGGTTACTGCAACAGAACTTTGGCAATGAACATAAAATTGCTACAGCATACATGGAAGGGCTCTTTCCACGGCCATTAATAAGGGCTGAGGACACACGGGCTCTACAGGCATACACGGTCTACCTTAGAGGATGTTGCAATTGCGATGGAAGATGTAAACTACATGTTTGAGCTCAACATTCCAGCAAACATGCTAGCCATTTTAAAGAAACTTCCATATAGGCTGAGGGATTTATGGAGAACTGTAGCATGTGACATCCAGGAAAAAGACCACCAAAGAGCTGCCTTCAAGGATATTGTGGAATTCCTTGAAAGGCAAGTAAAATTGCTACAGATCCCATATTTGGGGACATTAAAGACCCCCCTCCCGTGAGCAAAGACATAAGAAGGCCACAGCCTCATCCAAGAGGAAGCATCTTTGCAACCAATGTGAAAGTTACAGAAATAATATGACAGAAGCACTGTAGAAAACTGCTTGTATTGTAGATGTGAACATGCTCTGGAGATGTGTCCACAGTTAGGAAGGAGGACACATCATGAAAAAATCACATTTCTTAAAGAAAATGGTATTTGTTTTGGCTGCCTGTGTAAAGGACACATAAGTAGAGACTGCAGGAAACGAATGAGGTGCAACATATGCAATCTAAATCATCCCAGAATGCACATCTACCAACAAAGGAAGGAAATGGAAAATGAGCAGGAGGAAATGGAAGAAGCATCTGCAAACACTGCTGAAGCCTCAATTCAGACAGGTGGCCTTACTGGGGCCGGGGAAGATGGTAAACTCTCCATAGTACCAGTCCAAGTTAAAGCCAAAAAGGGGAACACAACAGTGCATACCTATGCATTTCTTGACCCAGGCAGTACTGCTTCGTTTTGCACATTAGGCCTTATTAACAAACTTAACCTCCAAGGAAGAAGGTCAAACATTCTGCTGAGAACTATGGGTCAAAGGAAGGTCGTTGACACCAGCATTGTGTCAGGCCTAGAGGTTGCTGGACTGCATAACAGCAACTTTTGTGATCTCCCCGGCACATACACTCAGAAGACTATGCCCGTGCACAAAGGAAACATTCCACGTCAAAACGACATCAATCAATGGTTGCATTTGAGGGATGTTTGTCTACCTGAAATTGATGCTGAAATTGAGTTGCTGATTGGTTCAGATGTTCCAAAAGCCCTTGAACCAATTGATGTAATCAGGAGTGTGGGGGATGGACCGTATGCCGTAAAAACCATGCTCGGTTGGACAGTTAATGGACCATTAGGAGGATGTCCTGATGATACTCGGGACAAAACTTCATTAAGTGTAAACATGGCCAAGCGCTGGTCTTATCTGCTTTTAGCGGAGAAGAGATGGACACTGAAAAGGCAGAAAAAGAAGGGTGATAGGAAAGAGAAAGGGGCCCAGAAGAGCAAGAGAATTATCCATGCTCCCATTGACAGTGAAGACAGTGAGCCCGAGCAAGAGAAAGGTGGAGAAATAGAGGAGGAACAAAAGAATGAGGTGAGGAAGGAAGCTACATCTGTGAAGGACATAAGAAGAGAAGGAATAGGGAGCTAAAGAGAGAGGGCAGCTTGAAAAACAAATTGCCAGTCAACAGCTGAAGGTACACAGATTAATGGGCCAAATGTCAAACCTGAAATGTGAACTTTCACAAGAAGAATAAGCGTATAAGGCTCTTGAAATCCAGATTAACACTCAAAAAGCACCAGGAATGGAAGCAGAACAATATGTTGTCAAAGAGGAACTACAAAATATTAAATTGCAATCTAAAACTCGAGGAAAGGGAAGACCGAAGACTGTTACACGTACTGTAACGTTTCAAGAACTAGAAGTAATGCTGAAGTAAATCTAGGAGCAAACTCGCAGACAGTAAAACTGACAGTGGAAAACACGATCATGCAAATAAGAAAAAACAGGAATCTCTGGTGACTAAACAGAAACCTTCAGATAACGAGAAGCCAACGATTCCAAAAAGCCACGCAGGAAAAGAGGATTGAGATCCCTCGGATGGAGAACATGGTGGCAAACAAGAATAAAAGGGACTCGTATGTATGCTTCGGATCAAGACCAAGACTGGTTTCTTGAGCAGACCAATTAACGAAGTTAGCCTTCTTCAGGATGCAGAGGACTTTTTCCAAGTCTAAACGGACTATTTTTTGTCTTTTATTTTTTGTCTCCTGCCCCCTGCACACACAAACCACCACACTAAGCATTTTTACTGATACTGATTAGTGAGTAAAGATCACTTTCCAAAAAGACTGCAATATATGAACTCTGAACAAAAATAATTCAAGAAAGAGATCTGGACGTATATTGTGTGTATTGTCATTTATTATAGTGTAATTATAATTTTGTGAAATGATAATTAGGGGCTGGTATTGTAGGTGCCATAATGCTTTACTTTTATGGTTTTTGTTTGGCAGCCGCTGCTAACAGTCATTTGACCGTTTTTTTACGGGTTTGTTGCCCGTAGAAGTATTAGTGCTGTACTTTTATTAAAGGTTATTGACTGTAAAAAGAGAGGATAAATCTGTAAAATTACAGTGTTTTCCTGTGAAATCTTTAAGAACAATTCCCGTAAATGAATGGCTTATTCACTTTATTTCAGTTAAAGTATTTTACTTTAATTTAAGGGTTTTTGTCTGCCAGTACTTTGACCATTTTTTTACGAGTTTTTTTTTTACAGTGTATAATTTTTTTTGTTTTACTATGTTCAATCTGAATTTATTTTAAAATAAAAACATCTATATTGATTCTGACTTTTCTACATCCAACTCACAGGTTTATCATTGCTTTGAGAAAAAAGATTATTAATTTACCCCTTTTAGAAGTGAAGACATCTGAAAAACAGCTCAGGGCTTAACAGGTTAACAATAAACAAATGTCAAGTAAACTGAAACTGCCCTCTATTCTTTATGTTGTGCAGGCCCATCATTACTGCATTATTAATGCCACTGTGCCAGTCCTCCAGAGATATTTTGCAGACGAGGACCCCCGCCCCCCGCCCCCCGCCCTTTCGGCTGGGCAGGGAGGCCATCCAGCAGCTCCTAGTGGCGCTGAAGACGGAGAGGCAACACGGTGACGATCCGACCTCCATGCTGCTACTCTGGTTCAAACTGCATCCACCAAACAATATGACTGGTCTTGACCTCCCCAAAAGAACCAACATCTGACTAGGTGTGAAAAGTATTTTTTAGATGTTCTGTCGTCATTTCCTGCGATCTTCTCCCTGCAGTCAGTCTTAATGGATATTAATACGGGAGTTTCTTTGACTATGTATAGGCAAATATGGGCGTTACGTGAAGCCCACAGAAGCTGCGCCGCATTTCAAGTTGATTGTGATTGTCCCGGCGTAGGATGTGTGTGCGCAGTGTTTTATAAATCGGAATATTTGTGTGCGTATTTACTTGCTTTGTCCTACGTACGCCACCTTCCCACGAGAATCCTACGCAAAGTTTTATAAATGAGGCCTCTGAACAGAGAATATGAACTGCTACCATCTAATGGAGATTCAATAAAGTCAGACTGAAGCATCCTTTGTGCTCCAGTCAGTCCTCTCAGTAAATACAGAGCTGAATCCAGATCAGAAGCACGCTGAAGGCTCTTTGAGCAGGTTGTCTCTCACTGATCCTGCTGTTATGTTACATGTTTGTTGTTTGTTTTTCATGTATTGTATCTTGATATTTGTTTATGTTGATGTTACACATGGAGCTGCTGTGATGCAAGTCACATTTCAGACTTGATCATTAAAGTATTATCGTATCGTATACAACAACGTTCTAAGCTATATCTAACCATATTGTGCATTCATATTGTATTTTCTAAACAGGTTGTGATCTTTCATTTGGGGATAACAGTGTTAGGAATATATTGTGATGAAGTGCACACTGACCTGAGCTCCAGGGGTCTTTTTGTTCTCCTCCATGCTGCTCTCAGTGCTCCTTCTCCAGCTGTGTCTCTGAAATAATCAACACAACTACAGCTGACACAAAACAAGACAACTCAATACAACCAACAGACACAACAAAACTAATCTACAGCTACTTCGTAGGTTCAAAGCAGAGGCGAGAAGTAACTAAGTACATTTACTCAAGAAGTTAAGATTCCAGTCTACGAGAATCTTAGGTTATATACGTGTCAGAGCCAGTATTTTGTTTTCATAAGAAAGGCCACCTAATTGTGACGTCTGTAGTCAACACACTATAAAAGACTACAATTCCCACGGCGCCTGCTCTAACTTGTCATCTACTAATATATCACAGTAACTTGGATCAGTGTGTATTTATTGAATTACCTTTGTTGTACAGCCTGTGCTGGAAGACTGTTTTATATGCAGGCGTTTATACTGTTTTAAACCGTTTTAATACTGTATTGATACCGTTTTTATACTGTTTTTACCCCTGACAGGAGCAGCTAGCTCGCATCAGCTCCGGTTAGCTCCCATTAGCTCCCGATAGCTCTTGTTAGCTCCCGGTGCTAACTCACCTGAACGAAGGTTGTTTTCCGGGATCCAGCCATCCCGGTGTCTCCCCCCGGTGTCCGTGTGTCTTCCCCCGGTGTCCCGGTGTCTCCTGAGGCCCATAAACCCTCCCGGTTCTCCGGTAAATCCTCCGGAGCTGCGGAGGCCATGGCTGCAGTCGAATAGTCCATTTAGCTTAGGAACCTTCCTAACCGAGTGAAATGACCCGGAAGTCCCTCAGTGGCAGCCATGAGAAGTGCCGTTCGAATTATCTAGAGATGATAGGAAAGGAGGTTTCACAGAAAGGAGAGGATAACATGCTGCATTTGCCGTCAAACAACAGTCGGCCGTTCACGGAAACAACCGATTATGACCGAGAAATTCTATCATTAAAGTTACGGTGCGCATTTTGAAACGTAGGTGGCAACCTATGGTGGCAACTTGCCAAAGTGCTTTGTTTTGAACGTTCAGCAGTATTATAATCAAAAAGAGAAATATGAACGTTAGTTTTTACTGAAATTATCAAATAAAGTTTCACAGTCTTTACTGAGCTGTGTGGGGTTTGTTCAACTTTTAGAATATGTTTGAATGGTGATATACACAGTGATAGGTGTTAAGGACTAACGTTTATAATAAATACATTTCTATTGATTTTAAGATATTTTCATAGTTCATACAATCATACGTATTGGGATCATTTGTATCAATGTGGACCGGAGGGAGAGGGTGACGAGCAGAAGTTTCACTTTGCTTTTTTATTTAAATTCCAACTTTGGTCATGAAGAAAATGTTTCTCTGTTGTCCACGTTCATAAAGCATAAAACAACAGCATCAGAGCACAGAGTCTCTGGATGAGTTCACAGGAGTCCCTCGTTCTTATTAAACATCCATGCTGTAGTCCGCTGTATAGAAAACTGTAGTTTCCATAGTTTCCCCACAGCAGCAGACGCACATTCATGACGTCCGCTGGCGCATCATAAACACTCAGATAGTGAAAGTGCAGTCAGATTCTCTAAAGTACCGCAGTCTCTTCTCCTAAGTCCTTTTGAATTCTCCTATCCACTATCCCTTAACCCCGTGATGTTTCACTCAGAGGCCAAGGAATAGACGATAGGGTTAGACGCAAGCCCCCGGGAAGTGCACCGGACCCAGATGAAAATATTCGTGGTGGCCAAACGGCGGTACTACACTTCCGTTTGGTTGCCAGGCCCGGAAACACTTTTTCCCATTGACTTACATGGGGAAAGAGTGGTCTGTAAATCGTTGGATAATTTTTTTTAAACTAAATAAACAATCCAGTATGAACACTTGTATAGCCCTTATTAAAAACATTAGTTCCTCAAGTTATACACATTTGCTAATAACGTTATTCTGAGAGTTATTTCCCTCTGCATTATGAACGCGCTAATCTAACCCACGGGACCGCGCCGCCCGGCACGTTCATGTTACGTGTTCAGCACTACATGCGTTTATCTTCCTTGGGCAAGACACTTCACCTGAACTTGCTCCTGTGGGTATTGTCCACAGTATCTGACCATTGCATGTATAATATATGTGTAATGTGTGTATATGTAAAGCGCTTTGAGTCATTGAAAAAGCGCTATAATAAATGTAAGGAATTATTATTATTATTATCTTTACCCATGGATGCACAATAAGAACGGACCCATATCGCCTTACTGCCATCCCACGGAGCTGTAATAATGGATATATTGCACATGTTTGCTGTAATTCATCATTTATAAAATATTATACTATGGGCTGTATGATTAAATCTTGTACCGTAAATGTTGTATTAAATAGCTAAATTTAATATTACCGACGTTAGATTAACGTTCCTGTAGCTTATTATTGCACTAAGAAGCTTATTGCCACTGTATATATATATATATATATATATATATATATATATATATATATTTATATATATATATATATATATACAGTGCAATAATTCTTTCATGCTAAATTAAGCTCTGTTGCTTGGATATCACTAGATCCTGTTACAGCGTAATGTAAGTACATAACGATTGATGTATACATTAGCATAATTACTAGCTAGCCGCTAGCTGCTAACTGCCGCCTCGTTAATATCAAATCCATCATAATAACAATCCATTACCATGCTGTCATGAACGCGCGGTGCTGTTACGATTACGCAAATTGACGTGCTTGATGTGAACGAGCATTTTGGTTAAAGTTGCGCATGCGCTATGAACGCACATATGGGTACTTCTCAGGCATGCCGGGTAATCTGTGACGTTTGGCTCTCTCAAAAGTTGGGCCATTTTATCATCATGTGCTAATGAGCAACTCTCATAGGAATGAATGAGGCCCCGCCTCCCACGCTGTATCCAGTTCTTATTATACATCCATGGTTAGACGTTAGGAGCTGATTTTTGGATTATCCGACCGCAATCTAGAGTCTAGATGATAGGAAAGGACATAGGAAAGGTTTCCAACGTTTCAAACTTCCTTTATAACCTCCTTTATCTTAGGAACCACTGGACCTCCGTCACCGAAAGGATAGGAGAAAATGCTGCCCCACAATGCCTTGCAGTCGCAGCATTTGCCGTCACACAACAGTCGGCCGTTCACGGAAACAACCGATTATGACAGAGAAATTATATCATGAAAGTTACGGTGCTTATTAAGCTTTTTAAAACGTGGTAACTTGCCAGTGTGCTTTGTTTGTATCAGTATTATAATGAAAAAGAGAAATATGAACGTTAGTTTTTACTGAAATTATCAAAAGTCAACATTGCACAGTCTTTACTGAGCTGTGTGGGGTTTGTTCAACTTTTAAAAGATGTTTGAATGGTGATATACACAGTGATGGACAGTGGCGGCTCCAGGGTATGGCTCAACAGCAAGAAATCTACCCTCGTGGGGGCGCGCTCATGTGATTGGCTTAGAATTGAGGAGACATCTGATTGGCTATAGATAGAACAAATTACAAGTACGAATCGGCTGACCGTCAGGGGAGTCTCAAAAAACCCACACACGAATGCACAGCGATCCGTGCACAGGATGCGTTTTGTGTTTGCAGGTTCAGGGGATTTAAACGGAAAACAAATATGTGAGGATCAAAAATACATATGTAAAACTTTTTTCTGTATTTGGATTTTATTTACATGTATATGAAACGAAACACATTTGTGTGTGCATTGAAAAACACAAGTGTGGATCCGGAAATACAAGTGTGAATCCTTCTGTGTGCATATGTGTATTATGAGACTGTTCTGAGCCCATAGCTACCTGCTGGCCGCAGCTGTTTTTAAAGGGAAACAAACACTCAGAACACACACACAAATAGCCAGTGGCGGACTAGCCAGTGGCGGACTAGCCATCGGGACGTTCGGGACGAATCCCAATGGGCCGGTACCGAAGTGGGCCGGTCGGGCCACTCGGCCCACTCCGATCAGGCCACTAGGTCCACCGTTTCCCCGCAGCGAGGCTCCCCCCCGTTGACAGTTTACGCGGGCTGGGCTGGGTGAGATTCCCGGGCTGATTTTTAGTCCCAGTCCGCCCATCATGCGCCCTGGTGACCGGACATCTCCTTCATAAAACTAATAAAAGGGGGAGTGATCGGACAGGTCGATGTGTGTGTGGTTAAAATGTAACAGCCTGTGGTCACTCTTTATAGCTGTTCAATGAAGGTAAACACTGTAGAAAAGACCCCAAAGTTATATATATATATTATTTTATTATACAGAGTTGATACCTGTTAAGTTGTGCCTTCATAGTGGGGAGGGGCTAACCCACATGTTTTGCGTGATGTCACACATCAGAGGGTAATGTGCGTCAGTAGTTTCAGGAAAGTTATGCCGTCTTGCGTTTCGTATTGTGTGCGTACATGAACGTGAGTGTTTGTCCACAGGGCTGCCTGTTATGTTGTTCTACACTTTAATATTATTGTGATAACTTCTGTGCCGATGTGGCTTAATGCAGAGTCTCCGTGATCATGTGATCGGTGCATCAGTGGCGGCCGGCCCATAGGGGCGCTAGGGGCGCCGCCCCACCTCTTCCCACATACAAAAAAAATAATAATAATTAAAAATATATATATATTTTATATTTTTATTTTTAATGAACAAGGTAAATATCATACAATTGGTATCAGTAAAATGTATAATCTACAATAAAATCTCGTTTAAAATTGTGTTACGATGTCTAAAGTTACTGATAAGTCACATGTTTCCTGCCTGGCCTTGCCCGTGGCATTAGTTTATCATTACCGGGCGCCGTGCAAGGAGCCCCCGAGCCAAACAGCAGCAACCAGCACGTTGCAAAAGTCTCAATAGCAAACTGTGCCGCCGAAACATAATTTCAGCCAATCAGCGCCGTCAAATATTTTGGTCACGAGGGCGCTCACGTTGGCGCCCACGTTGCTTACGGGCGTTGACGTGAGTTGTTTTTTAGACTCGTGAGTGACCTCGGTCCGCACCCAATTCCGTTCAAGAGCTAATCTCCAATCCTTTCGAAAGGAGAAGTTTGGGAGATAAATTGATACTTAAAGACCTTGGACCGGACCTACCCGATTTGTATATATCGCAGCAAGCTCGTGAAAAAGACAAAACGTATCAACGAGGCTTCTCACGTAGCTGGTACACCAGAAAGGCATGGCTAGCTGGATGCAAACAGGTAAATGCTGTCTTTTGTTTCCCATGCTTGCTCTTCAAACAGCTGGGGACAGATACGATCTGTTCAGAAACTAGACAAAAGTTAAACAAGTACAAACCACAGACTCTCTGTGTCATGGAGAATACAGTCGCTGGTTTATTTATGTCTGTATAGGCCGTTGTTGTGAGTGTGGACGGTCGGAGCATATATAACGTCAGCTTAGCCAAGCTCCATTCAGAAAACAAGCATTCTAAAAGGTTTTTCGCCTGCCGTCTGTCTGCACACTTGTCAAAGCATTAATTCATGGTTTTTACTAACCGGTATCAGTATGTTGTTACTTCGGCATCATTTAGAAACGTGTATTACAATTTAATCACGGTAAAATATGTTCATTTTGTTGTAGTTGTAGCTCCCGAGCCAGCGCGTCTTGTTTGAATGATGCGAGTAAACACAGCTGGCAGCCGCGGTGAAACTCGAGCGACTAGAGCGATGCGATAGGAGCGTTTAGAGCGAAGCGAATATTCGCATCGCGTCCGGTCTGAACGCAGCATTAAAGCGAGCTCCGCGCTGCACTGGAAACGCGCCATTACAT